ACATTTGAATATATGTATATGCATATACAGAGGATTGTACCATTGACGCTGTGGGTACTGCCACACAAAAGGCATCATGGATCGTAGAAACGTCATGCATTCCGTTTGGCCGACTTACTGCTCCAAAGGCTCGTTTCGCACACGAGGTGCACAGTGACCCTTTGGTCTCCAACCGTCTTCTGCTTGATGTATTCCCGAGGGAATCGATTAATACGCGCGATTGCGGATGCAACGAGCCGCTTCCAAGACCACGCATCTCGTAATGGTCAAACGACAGTATTTCCACGCCCTTTAAACCCGAGTGCTCCCAATATTCGCAGACGTAAAATTAAATAGAGAGATGCATTATATATATATATATATATATATATATTTGTGTCGTGTGTCGAGAATCCGATTATATTAAATTTCTTCTCTTATGACGTACATTAATTAATTCACGAGTAATTAATGCTAAAGTACCAATTTGAAATAATTGTACGTATTGTATGTAAATTATATATATATCATTAAAACCATTAATGCGTTTTGCAACGTAATGGATAACTAGAAACTGTGTATATATGTTATTGTGTGTGTATGTGTAGAGTATATCGTGGATAAACCGTGTATAATTAATTGGCACAATTACAGCTAGAGATATCGGTTCATCTCTAGTCAAGGGTATGTCTCCGTATATTCTATCTCGCGGACATCGGAACAGTACGAGGCAATCGTGTCCCATGTGCAATAGGAGTTATTACGTTGCTTCTGCAACGTGCAATTGCAACTTCGAAGACGCTATATAGCACTCTCTGTAACTCAAACTAATACCTTCTGTGACTTCAGGCGAAAATTGTGAGCAACGAGCTGTGCGTCGTCATCGCTGCTTATAAGAAAATCTAATCTCGTGATAATTTGCGAATGAAACATTTCCGCAATTTACAGAGTTGTTTGTAAACAACATGGTTAATATAAATTCCAATTTTCTTCTAGCAAAAATCAAAAAATCACTTGCCAAAAACACAGAAACGTTGAATGTTAAAATGGGAAATTAAAAAAAAATATATATATATATATTTAATTAAAATCTGTTTTTCTGTCAGATAAACTGAAAATTATTATCAGCACTGTAATTTTAAGTTTTAATGCGAATATAATGACGCATTGAAATGCATGCATGCGGTTTTGCGACTGAATGTGTCTTGTTACCATAATATCCTATATTATTCTACAAACATCTGTGAGATGCGAATGTGTTAGACCATTGTCTTACGCGCCTGCATGCAACAGGATTCCAAATGGTCAGCATTGCATTGTTTCAGCCAAATAACGTAATTGCTGATGTCATAATCATATATAATTCTATAAAAGCCAAATTATATAAATTCTCTTAATAAAATTATATTATAGATAAATTAACAGGGTATTGGAGCAATAAATAAGTAATAAATCTACCAAAAAAATTTCAATATTTAGTTTACACAAAAAATGTGTGAATAAAATCATTCGACAAAATAAATTTTATACCAATAGAGAATTTATAAACCGATTAATTAAATCCAATATAGTTCGCCGATTTGCTGCAAAAAAAACAGTTTCTCTAATCAAGCGCGACAGATAATTTCGGTCTGGGCATATAAGCCGCACGAATTTATCGAACGGATCTCGTTCGTATGCAATGACTAGTGCAAACACTCCACCGCTTACGGATGACCATCACGTAAACATGCCGAGCGAAGCACAATGAATTTGAACTATCGTCGATACAAAAAGGTTTGCTTCGATACTATTCACTTCTAACCCATCAGCTTTTACGAACTGTATGAGAATGAGATAAATGTCTCCTATGTATACAGTTTTTTGCAGGAATTATTGTGTGTGTGATTATATTATATTAAATTATATTATATTATCCGAAGAAATATGAAATGCTACAGCAACGTTGGAAATTTTGTAAAATTCCATTAATATTGTAAAAACGTGTACAGAATATAATAATAAAATGTATTTTTATTCGTGAAAAGCAGCGTATAAAATACTCTACCAAATATATCATTTATTCTCATTCTAAATTCATGTAATCTGATTAAGTTTATATATATGTGTGTGTTCTATATAAAAATTTAATATAATAATACAAAATTTATAAAAATAATAAAAAAAATATTAGTCTGATGTTTTTTAACGTTAAATAATTAAATACGAATAAAGTAGTGAAATACTCGTCGGCAATTAAAAGATTATTAGAAAATGCATAAAACGTAAGCGGAAAGATCGCGCACTGTTCTCTAATGTTGTGTAAGAGAACTTAATTTGTGTTTTCCTCTAGAACAATGCGAAATCCTGAGATATACATTGCAACTGAGGAAAACGATTAATTCAAGCAATCGCCAGTAGTAAACCGCGACTATAAACCGCCACTTTCAAGATACCTTTACAATCCGTCGCAACTGTTTCCATCTCATTCTCCGATTTCCTAGATGCAGAAGAACGGTAGTATCGTTTTCTCTCTCTCTCTCTCTCCTCCTTTCGCGGGATGGGTCAGTCGGGATTGTATCGCTCGGTGCGAGCCACGCAATTGCAATTGCGAAACCGCGAAGCTCGGCGGAATTTGCACTAACAGCGTTCAACTCAGACTCCTTGATACGACTAAGTCGCGCAACTTACAATTATAGTGTGTCCAGCGAAATCCCATCGCTTTTCGCGCTGATACGTACACACTCTCGAGAAAATCTCAATCTCTCTTAGCTACGTTTCCGCAATTGCCATGCATTCCACGCCGCGTAAGCGAAATTTGAGAATAGCTTCATGTCTCCTTCTATCGAGTCACAAAAAACAATTAAGAGTTTCAAGCATTAAAACCACAATTGTTAAGAACTATTAATATAATTTCTCTTTCTAACGTTCCTAGTTTTATCCCAACGAAATTGCGAAATTGTCCAAAATTACGTTGATTTTACGATAAATGTACATATGTAGTACCTAGTAAATATATATTTAGTTTAGTTTTCACTTGAAATATTTTTTCATAAAAAAATGACAGCCCAAATTATACACGACAAAAAAATTAAATCTAGAATAGATTACATAAATGAATAACATACTTAGTTCCGGTTTACGCGAGTACAATTTCAAAAAATTCTCTTTTTTGCATTTATTTTAATTAAATCATAAATATATGTATTCAGAATACTTTTATACTAACAGACTAGTTTGGCTGTATATGCAAACTAGTCAGTAAAGAGTTATATGCGCGATCCTCAGTTTCTCGATGTTACCTATTCAGTTTGGCCATTACGTGGGTCACCACCGATATAGCGAGAGCTTTAGGTGCCAACTAGCTTTTCAAATTATCATTTAAACGGATTCGAATTGTCCCAGGATACCCGTTGTTCATAGCTCGACTATGCTTTCGAGATTATAGGCCGTCGAGACTAAAACCATTTCTCTTACGGAATTTAATCGAATCCCGGCGGAATTCCAGACCAGTCGTCTCGAAACAAATTCGCGAAACACCAACTGTATTCTTGTTTGCTTCCAAAATTCCAAGCGAACCATCAATATAACTTACGTGCATTCCGCAAAAAAAGATCTGACGTGGAGAATTATTTACGAGCAAATAAAATTAAATGACAAAAGATCGAAGTTAAGGAAAACTATTTTGTCTCTCATTTATATACAGATTTATTTTACCGACAAACTTGTTTATCCAATGCATCCTATCTTGATAGCAGCTTTTATTATTCTAGTTAATTTTAGGAAGAGAGGAGGACAAACAAATTTCAGGAAAGATTTCTCAAATAAACGATGTATCGTCATTAAATTAATTACACAACTATTCAATCCCAGCATCGAATTAATACATGCATTATCGGGTAACGAACATTAGCGAACATTAGCTATAGCAACATTATAACTACGACGTGCAAACGTATATATCGATCGTAATTACCCGATTTTCTATTCAATACGCGATACGCGACACTGTATTATCGCGTTTATATTATCGACGAGTTTCATTCGCGTCTTTTACGACTCATATTGCGTTTTCTCGCCTAGTCACAGAGAACGTAACTTACACAACCTGTCGTTAAGTCCGCCGTCACGGCGCCGTAAATATGTTCCATCGAAGATATTGCATTGTGAGACGCGTATACACATATAAAGAAGAAGAGAAAAGGAGAGAGAAAGAGAGTGTGTGAAAAAGAGAGGGAAAGAGATGCAAGACGGCGAAGCGAGAACAAAATTATTTCGCGAGCGTAATGGCGCGGATGTATCCAATAAAACAAGAAGGAAAAACTAGCGGACGATCGATCGTAAGAAAACAGAGGCGCTCAACAAAATTTTCTCCTCAGCATGCCAAACCCCGTAAATTTCTAAAGCTATTAAGTTTATCGGTCCGGGGGGGTAAGAAGCTCCTAACTTTTATAAATGGTCGTCCCGCCTCCGGTGCAATTTACGAAAAAACCTCGTTCCTCATTTCACTTAATTCTGCCACAACGCGGACGAGCGGAAGCGATAGGACACCGGAATCGAGACACGGGTAAGACGATATATCGTTGTAATAGAAACCGATTGATTCATTTCTCGCCCCGTCGTCTCTAAAACTGTCATTTATTCGAAAGACATTAAAATCTCATTGTCAGTATAAAGCAATCAAATTGGATATTGTTGATCATTTATTTACTAAAAGTAGAGGGCTATTTTGCAGATGAGATATCTTTTTGTCATTTAGTAATTTTTTGCTATGCAAAATAATATAATATTGATACGACACATTTTCAAATCGACTCACACCGTATTTACATACAAATAGAATCAATATATCCCCAGTAAATCGATTTTGCATTCACAGTTTAATGGAAAATTAATGACAATCACTCGCAAACAAGCACGCATTACAAAGAACAGGATACGCTTAAATAACGTGTCACGTGAGAAAACATATTTTCCAAGAACTGCACATATATATATATATATATAGAAAGAGAGAGAGACAGAGACTCCGCTAAATAATTTCACTCCATCACGGAAACGGCATCGTCGGCAATTTTGTCCGTCAAACTCGAACTGGCCGAGACAGAGGGGGTGCTCTCAACTTTTTTGCTCTTTCGCGCTATATTACCAATTCCTCGAGATCCCTTGCGGTTCTTTATCTTGAGGGCACGATTGATTTTCGACTTTGCGGGCGTCGGCAATCTCGCGAATCGCGAGGCGATGCGATTCGCGCGATCCAATTCGTCACCAGTCGGGAGAAAATAATGACCGCGATCTCTTCGTAAAATACCGTGCTCGACACCTCGTTTCAAGGCCGCCTTCACCTGAGATATATCGCGATAATAATTAACTCGGACAGATGAAATAAATCTACGTGAGAACGCAAGCGCGCGCGCAATAAACTTGTCAAGCATTAATCATTGAATATATAAATGCGATTTGTATGTAGCACTTTCTTTCTCTACCTCAAAGAAAACGACTGCAACAAATTTCTGGATTTCTTCCGATAAAAAAAATCGTTATTCAGAACGATTTACGGAATTGACGCGAACTTGACACTCGTACGCACTTTACATACGCATGTCTGTGACAGTGATTGATATGTGAAAATAGAAATGTGCAAAAAAAATTTTTATCGTTGATTTTTCAATCAACACTGTTGTTTTTTACTTGAAACGACAATATTGCATCGAAATTGTTAAGATTTTTAAAAATTGGTCAAAATCACAAACATTGTACACATACATTACGAGATATGTAATACATACATGATTTCATGTAAATTCTTCTTTTCAATTTAATAACTATAGATTTAAAAATGACGAATTTAAATTTATCAGAAATAACGCTTTAACTACGCTCACTTGTTGTTTAATGCGTTTTTCAGGTACGCTCGAAGCATAACTAATATATCCCTCGATTCTTTTGGATGTAGAGCCTTTGGTTTCGCAAAGATCTTGTATAGCAGAGACAACTAGAGCAGCGATTTTTATGGGTTTTTTCTGTTTTTGCTTTCGTTTTACAGTTTTCATCTCCTTTCTTTCCATTTTCACACTGATTGTTGATCATTAAAGTACAATATATACAAATCACACTGATAATTTAACATAAATATTATTAAATAAAATAAAATTTCCGCGACGTAATTGGCACGACAAATTTATTCCGTGATTGCCATCATCATCATCATCGATTATTTCATCATTTGTTTTTATCGAGTCGAAGCTATTTTCACGCAAAATAAATATTCGAAAAATATCTTGCATATATATATATATATATATATAAAATAAATATTCGAAAAATATCTTGCATATATATATATATATAAAATAAATATTCAAAAAATATCTTGCATCCATATATACACATATATATATATATATATATATCCACATATATGTCAATATATATGTATATATATGGATGTATATATAACTTTTAATATACTTTTTATTAGCATATCAAAAATTAACTTTTTTAAATTAAAAATCTAGCTAAAGAAAATAACTCAACTAAATATAGAGAGTTTATATAATAGAACAACTTTCTTTCTTTTAAAGGAACATTACATTTCCATCCAGATTACGCACATAATAACACCCGCAATTACGTGCGAGACACATTAAATTAATAGAACGATAAGAAAAATAGCAAAACGCGCGAGAGAAGGTGTCACATATACTAATAGCGCGACATGTGTTGTAGGGCTTTAAAAAAGAGATGCCGGTGTCAGACTGCTGCATTACAACCGCGCCTACGCAATGCATAAAGCCGTGCGGGAATATGCGAATGCATTATTCTTTCTTTTGTACGTTATACCCGAGCTTTTTATCGGCGTATTCGCGGCGCGCGTTTCGCCCTCCTTGTTCCCCAATCAGTCAACTTTACGATAGGCATTACTTTCTTGGCGGATGAAAAAAGTCCGTTGAATAATACATCGGCCGGATGCACTCGCCGTATCAGCGCCCCTATAGGGAGTGCAACCGTCTTTTTTACAAACTCGACCGGAATTAGTCATCGTGCCGCGAAGAAGAAAGAAGGAAACGAAAAAATACATACGAAAAAAATATATACATACGGCGATACGCGTGAATGTTACCACAGTGATTGATCGTCGAGACCGTTATCAACCACATACGAAAATATATAGGTGCACGGCGTGCAATAAGCCATTCGAGAGAAAAAGAGCCACCCCAGAATCGTTATGCAATCATATACCTTATTCCCCTGATAAGCCGCGCCGCTAATAACGGTGGACGATACGTCGTCGTTACAAAGAAATTCGCACGCGACCGCAAAGTTCAGCGATATCCGCACGCAAGTGAGTCCCCTGCCCTCATTTGCATAATAAAAAAAGAATATAATTACGCGAACGGTCATGTCGGCCCCCGTCGGTTGCTCTCGTAGAAAACGTATTTTTAACTGTAATCGGCCGGTATTAATCTCCGCGAAACCACTTAATTTCACGCCGCGTTGAATCGCGCCAGTTTTTCACTTCGAGCGCACTTTCGGCGTGGAGCTGCTTATATATTTCGAGATTTTTAACCCCGTTCCGTCTTTCAATCGACTATATATGTATAGCGCAATTTCATCCCGACGCGTCATTATCATTTCTGCTACGTCTACCTATAATATTGATCTAATATACAATGCATGCGTGAAAGAGTTCCTGTAATTTCAGCAATCAGACCCAGTTGCTTGTGTGTCATAGTATTAATAAAATAATTTTATTCATTCACTCGAATTTAAGTAACGTGTCATTCGCGCTCTACATGTCGAAATAAAATCAATTCGATTCGCCTGCATTTTACTCGATGATTTCGTTCGATGTAATGCGCATTCGCGAGGACGGTGAGCGAATTTTTTTTTCCGCTCTATCGACGATCGCCTGACAATGACTGATATTCCGCTATGTTCGAGAGTCGAACTAATTCCCGAACACAACACACGACCGACTATTAAATGTCGAATATTCGTGGGGGGAAAAAAGACGACGTCTAAAAAACATTGCTAGCAACACGGTGCGTAACAGCGTGCCGGCGATTTAAAATTTTGATGATAATAACCAGATCGATTGTGGATATTGCGCGATGGCAACAAATTTTGCAATACGACGAGAGAGAAAATCGACCGGACTATTTAAAAAGCAATTATATGCGAACACACATTGTCAGACGGCGGTAATGTCGGTGCCGTACGTGCACATTCGCAGTTTATACTGTCTGTTACGAACGGTTTGTTGCCGATATTACCACGGTCGAAATGAAGTTTATCGCGGACAAACTAAACGAAATGAAACAACGTTGGATTTATTAAATGCAAAACTGCGTTACCGAAGCTGTACACATCGCGTGACGCGATGTTTCATTATATTGTTTATATGTATACACACACATCTCGCTAGGTATATTCTTCCGCTGAATCCTCTACTCGCGAAATTTTAATTAGATATATATATATATATAATATGACAATATAAAGTTTTCCGATTATAAAACAGGCGTCATTTATTTCTCTGTTTCTCTCCGTTGAAAGTGTTTTAATTAAATATAATGCAAGTAAAGATTGACAGAATTTGATAATATACGAGTGTTGAAAGATTTCGTACGACGATTGTATACATATGCATAACATTATTTAATTCAGTCTCGAAATTCTTCACATCAAAACACCTTCGCGCGAAGCAGAGGCTCATAAATTATAATCGTGGCGTATCAAGCATGATCTAACTCCCTGCGCAGCTTTGCTCCCTTCTCTCCTTTCTTCCGGCTCATGAGCGTCGATTATTATCCGCGCAATTACGTCGGTAGCTCGCGGTTAGGAAAATACCGATTCCGAGCTGCTCACGGCATGCGAGCAGAAATTTATTAACAGGCGTACGTGATCGCTTATGCGCGCACGTAATAAGGTTTAAGCGACGTGCAGGGCGAATTAAACGAGCTGAACGGCTATCGGCGCCGACAATGCGTTCGACCATGCTTTATCGTTTAATATTCTAAGTGGTCGTATAATCAAGTGACGTTACCGCACTCATAAAATGCAACGAAGCGAGCTAATTACAGGCGGACTGCGTTATGCACATAGATTTTAGCGACGAAAGTCTATCGCTTGCCAGGAAATCCGCCAAATACTTTATGTCGAATCTACTAGGGATAAAGCTTGATTAAAGAGCGTCACGATATCGGAATATGTTAATTCGTCACATAAAATTAGTCCTCTAAATTTTATACAATATCTTAATAAGTAGGTATATCAAAGAACTTTATAAGCAAATATTACGTAGAAATTTAAATAAATGGTTGAGCTGTTCTATATATTTTCTAAAACTTTAAACGAATAAATAAAATTTAGTTTATGTCTCTGTCAATTCTTGTCAACGGTAAAAAATTTTTTAATTTTTTTCGAAATCAATTCCTCAACAAGCTTGTTAAGACCGGTATCGTTGTATCGACTTTCCCTCAACGTTTCGATGTTTATCGTTTCCTAGACAGTTCTGCTGAGTCTTTGGTGTCAATATCCTCGGCAACCCCTGATATAAAGCAAAGCGACTACGAAGTTTCGATGGGAAGGCAATCGAGATAAAGAAGGTTAATTAATCTTTCGTTCTTCGAACGCGGTTGTTGCCACTAGGACCCGAGTTAAAATCGGATGAAAGAATCGTGCAAAATAATTAACGAAGAACGTTAAATAAAAAGAAGAAGAAGAAGAAGAAGAAGGCAAAAGGAGAGAAGATATCGGACGGACGCAAATTCGTGCCCTATGTCAATTTGGTGGAGCGTAACGACCAGAGTTCTCGAGATCTTATCCTACCGAGAGAAACCTCGCGCGGCTTCGCGAAAAATCGCAAGTACTCGTCGTGAAACTTTCAATTATAGCCGCATTCAATTACCGCGCGCTCGTTTCTTCCAGCGTTTCTGTAATCGCGGTCAGGGCAAAAAGATATTCTCTGAAATTCTTATTGCGCTCCGTGTGCATAAATAGTCTCGAAGAAACTCTCAATCCTTCGCAGAATGGTTCGATCTGAGCGACGACGGATACCTCGACACGCGAAATACATTATTCAATTATCCTGTATGCCGTGATAAATCTCGAAATCGACAGAGGTCCGATTCGGGCTTGTATGTGCGAGAAGCTTTATGAGATATAACCAGCTCCATCGCTATAGTAGCAGTAGCAGCAGCAGCAGCAGCGAACGAATGTAATTTGCGAGCGTATGATTAATGACCGTCACAAGGACTAGGTAAACTAGTGGCGATGCTCTTCTTCGACTCCGCCATGAATAGATTACGTATATAAGCGATCGCGAAAGGGGAAGCCGGCTTTGGAGCTCGCGTTAGGAAAGTTTCGGGAGAACCACTGCGTTAAATGGGATCATCCTTCGCATATTCCAGCCCTCTTCTCCCACGTTAGAGTAGGCTATGCGTGATATGCGGCGCTATTAGACATAGGCGCGCACACGTGGAACTGGGAAATGATCGATCCAGAAACAAGCGGATCGGACGAAAGCCAGCAGACTTGCAGACCGAACACTTTAGTCAGTATGCAGAGTGGAATGGTAGACGGGAAGAGGGAGGGAGGATCGCATCGTAGAGATTACCGGCGTTCCGATGCATCATCGCAGGATTGTGCAGTTTCCGCGCAGGGCCGTGACCACCGATTGGACCTTCCCGAAATGCAATTGATCCATAACCGATGGCTGCACTCGCGCTAATACCGTAACACTCGTACGTCACTAACGTCTGCAACTCCGCGATTAATTATGCGCTAATTCCTGAAGCGAATCATCTTTATCAAATGAATTTACAATCTTCACAATTAATTGTTGATCGCCAGTGATAACATTTTAACAACTAATAAGATGCAATTTAATTTGACCAAAAATAAGTACACACTACGTTTCGACCCACATTGTGGTCCTTTTCAAGTGTTGTTCTTATTCAGCAATTACATTAATTAAAAATAGAAACATGAAAGTTGTCCTGTCATATCGACAATATGTTAGCTACTCAAAAGGACCACAATGTGGGTCGAAACGTAGTGTGTA